CACACACACACACACAATTAAATGATTGTTTAGGAGTTACCTTGGCCAACCCATTGTCTAGTGGTTGGCGGGTTCCAGTCTACCCGAACGGAGTGCCGATATCTCGGTGTGGTCTGTGTTGGTTCCGGTAACGGAATGTGGACTTTCTTCTTTTCGTCAAAGTAGAAGAAATAATACGGTTTCTTTTGTGCACTATCCTGTGGAGATTGTTTATGATTCGAATATCCTTTTCCAAAGGATTTCTTTTCGTCAGCACTAAATATGGTGTGTGTTTCATTAAAGGTCAAGTGCCTATGTCTAGTGAAACCCACGGGAGCTATATGTCCTACCCTATTGCAATAATGGCATACTACATTTGGGTTGAAAATATGCCTAGGTTGGTAATAGCTAGGGGTTCTAATCATATTCATCCTATTTTGAGAAAATATTGGTTTTTGGGTATTTTGAAGATTCTCTCTTCTAGGTGTTCTAGCATTATTTTGTCTATTTGAAAAATTATTTGTGTCCATAAAATCATTTTGATAATTCCTCCTAGGTTGCCTAGAGTGCTTGTGTTCATGACTAACCTTTTGTTTAGGTTGCCTATTATTTTTATTTTTATCTTTCTTAGGTTGAGCTCTAGGTGGTTTACGGTTGTGCTCAACTTTTTCTTTATTTTTAGGTTCATCAATCTTCCTAAAACCTATTCCTTGTTTAGTGTATTGCATAGAATAAAAAACGAGATTAAGATCCTTATGTGGTTTATTAAATTTCTTCACCGTGTTTTCTAATTCAGCAACTTGTTCTTTCAAAGCTATGCAAGAGTCACAATGTTTTGTAGAGCTCTCGGGTTTGTCGGCGCTTCTTTTACCATAAAATTTGTTTTCAACTTTTAGTTTTTCATTTTCCTTTTGAAGTTTTTCAAACTCAATTTCAAGATTAGAAAAACGTTTCTTTAAAGCTTTGTTGGTTTTAGAAGCGCTAACAAACTCGTCATAAAGCTCTTGGAGAGCTTCTTGCATTTCTTCAAAAGAATAAGAACCGGTAGAAGAAATATGTACCTCTTGGTTTTTGTTGTTGGCAGACTCCTCTTCTTCTTGAGATATGAGACAAAGATTTGCTTCCTCTTCTTCCTCTTGTTCGCTTGATTCATCGCCGGAGTCTCCACCCTAGGAGATGTATGCTCTTTGCCTTTTGAAGTGCTGAGCATTCCTTCCGCTTTTCGGGCATTTGTTCTTGATGTGCCCGGCTTCACCACATCCATAGCACACAGGGCCATCCTCAACCTTCTCTTTCTTTCTTAGAAGTTTACAAAACTTCTTCATGACAAGCTTGACTTCATCATCGTCGCTTGAGTCATTCATCATTGGTTCTTTGAAGGCTTTTAATGCTATGCCTTTCCTTTGGTCATTCAAAGACGGGTTAAGTATAGTAGATTCATAGGTTTTTAAGTTACCTCTTAAACTGTCGATGGTGACATTTGATGTGCCGATTGACTCATAGATGGCATCGGCCTTAGATCGCCATTCGGATGTCAAGCTCCGTAGGATCTTTCGTACAAGATCCCTGTCGGTGTAAGTCTTCTTCAATGCATGAAGATCGTTGACTATCTTGGAAAATCGGTCGAACATGTCGTCGATCTTCTTGTGCTCCTTCATCCTGAACATCTCATATTCTTGGGTGAGGAAGTCAATCTTGGCTTCACGTACTTGGTCCGTTCCTTCGTACGTCACCTCAAGTTTATCCCACATGTCCTTGGCGGTTGAGCAGCAGGAGATCTTGCGGTAGTCATCAGGATTTACGGCACAATAAAGCATATTTATTGCCTTTGCATAATTCTCGGCCTTTTTGATGTCCTCGGCATCAAACTCGTCTTCGGTCTTGGGGATCAACTTGTCGCCAACTTTCTTCATCGGCACCTCTTCCCCATTTTTGATAACCAACCATAATTGGAAGTTCGTGGAACGAATATAGATTCTCATTCGTTCTTTCCAATATGTATAATTGGTTCCATCAAAAAGAGGTGATCGTGTGGTTGATTGCCCTTCACCTATTCCTGCATACAAATTTCTAGAACACGAACCCATGATCGCTTTTCTCTCAAACGGTTAAGTTTGGACGCGAGTTAGGCTTTGATACCAATTGTTAGAATAAGTGACCAACGCTGGAAGGGGGGTGAATAGCGTTTGATCGTAAATATCGCATGAATAAAAAATTAAGAATGTGAAAAATAAAGAGCGTAGAAAGCGTAAAGGGAGCACACCAAGATTTATACTGGTTCACCACAACGTGTGGCTAATCCAGTCTCCCGAGAGACTCTCTCGAGCTACACTACTTCCGTTAAGCTTACGGGTGCTTAACAAACCGTTACAACCTGAGAACTCGAGTCCCACGAGCCTCAACAACACTTGCTCGGAGATACCGCACTCCAAGACTTCAACCCGAAGGAAAATNAAGAGCCAAGGTGTAAAGATTGGGTCGGTCTTGATCACAATGAAGACCGACTCACGACACTAAGACTAAGGTCTTCGTTCTTGGTCTTCTTTTAGCTCTTGTTCTTGTCTTCCTTCTTCGCCTTGTATATTCAAAGTTTGACTTGATCACGGCGGTTTGGCATTATCAAAACCTGTCATAAAAACAAACACGGCTTTAGTACGAAAACGTGACATGCCCGTGTTTCAACATCTTCCCCATTAAGATATGCACAAATACAATGCCCCCTGAATATATGCATATCTACACCATCTTCCCCCTTTTGACATTATCAAAAAGAGATGGGCAAAAAGATATATGCCCATGCAAATAGATATCAAACAAACAAATAATATCACATTGTCCAACTAAAATATAAATCAACATTAGTTGGAATTAATAAAGTGAATCAACTTCCCCCTTAATTGATGCTTCACCCAATTATGTGCTTGGCGCATCTACTTCAACTCAAGTCGAAGTGTTCAAGCACACCTTCCTTGATGAATCTACGAAGCAAATTTTGGTACCCAATGCCTTTTGGGTCCAGGGGTGTTATGGCAATAATAAAAATCATATGAACGATGCATCACATTATCTTGACTTAGAAGCAAGTGCCTATACTTAGTGTAACAAACTAGTGTGATGTGTCCTACTTTATTACAATAATGACACCTAACACTAGGGTTGTTCATGTTTCTAGGACGTGTGATGTGCTTTCTAGGTTGTCTATCAAACTTAGAATTCCTAGAATGACTTAGTTTATTTCTAGATGATCTATAGTATTTAATCCTAGAGGTAGATTTTAGTCTAAATTCATTTTCAACTTTCTTCATAGCTAATTTCAAATCGTCTACCTCTTTCTTAAGCGCTTCTATCTCAAGACTAGAAGACTTACATGAAGAACAAGGTGAATCATTTATTTTCAAATTAGTCTCCTCAAAAGTCTTATTTTCAATTTTGAGGGAATCAATTTCTTTTTGCAAAATATTATTTTTCTTTTGCAAAAGGGTGATTTTATATTCCAAATCTTTGGCAATAGTTGAGACTTTCTTAAATTCTTTAAATAAATCACCAAATGCTTCTTGTAATTCTTCAAAACTAAAAGGATCGTTAGAAGAACTTACCTCTTCGGATTCACTTTGAGCCATAAGACAAATGGCTACTTCATCATCGGATGAGGAAGAGGAGCTATAGTTGGATTGCTTTCGGCGTTTGGACTTCCAGATCCTTAGCCTTGCTATCCGAGCCTTGCGATGTACACGTTGGTAGCGCTCTTTCGAATCATAACTTTGCCTCTTGTTCTTTCGTCGCTTACCAAGCACGAAGGTTCGACTGGAGTCAACGCTTGACACGCTTCTGGTACTAATGGTACTCATCTAACAATCGCAGAGTATCAAAATAGGAACAAGTGAGCGCATAACACAGTTAATATGACGCTTCGATGTGTGCTCACGTGCTCAAGCTTCCCATGTGGGACAACCTGTCCATCGTTGCCTGCTGCTTGGCTCATTCTCAATAAGAAGAGCTTAAATCTGATCTAATTACAATATGACATATAAATGAATTAAATAACGGTGTACCTTTCCCAGGAAGTGATGTGATGGGAGATGTGGCTGTGGACTTTCTGGAAATACCCTTTGACCAAGATGACAAAATATGTTTTTTTTTACATTTTTTTCACAAAATCGAACTTCTCTGATACCAAATTGTAACACCCGCCTTCCGTGGACCCGGTTCATCCGCAACCCAACGGACCGGTAGGGTTACATGGGCGGTCCGAGAACCGTCCGTAACGTAAAAGAACATTAATGTCTATTTATTGTGAAAACGGTTGTTTTTAATTAGCGGAATAAATGCTAGGGAAGTAAACGGAGTTATTCCCAAAACGTATGAGGTATAAATGCAGAGTAAAAGCGGAAGTAAATAAATAAGTCCAAAATAGATAAAACGACATTTGATGGGTTCATGCCCAAATGATTGATTAATTCAAATGATTATAATTAATAAACCCGTCCGTGCGCCGCCCATCTTCCCATCATCATTGTCCTCCAGGGTTGGCACCTGTACCGTCATGTCTACCTGCGTGTAGCAAAAACAACTACACGCTCAACAAAAGCTGAGGAGTGAATCTAACAAAAGAACATGAAGTGATAACCCATATGATTATACACATATTAATACCTGTACTTTAACGTACGGAAAACCACATGTTTATTAACTGATTAATTTGCACTTGTTGGGGATATTTTTACACATAAAAAAATGAATAACAACCACATTGAATGTTGATGTGACCTGGAACATACATGATGATGACGACCACAATGAATGTTGACATGACATGGAACACACATGATGACGATATGACTTGATGCATGACTTAAACTATCAGGGACACCCCTGGCTTAGTCTCACTTGACAGGATCACCCCTGCACTCCGGTAATGAGCCGGGCTAGACGAAAATGTCGCAAGTGAACTAGCAAAACTGGGTGGTAGCCGTAGCCTGACTACCATGTACGTACACAAAGCCCACCTGATGAAAACCCGTTGGATCCCAAAGGTTCCTGGACGGGCCCACTGTAGTAGGCGCACGAAAGCCTAACCTCCCTACAGCGGTATGCACATGATGATAAACCTAGGACATGTGACTAGAATGAACATGATGAATGCTTGATATATTTACCTTTGGTCAACGCCAAGAATATATCAATTAAATAGCATACATAATGAAGATTAACATTTCATGCAACACACAAACAGATTGTGGTTCAAACTGGTCAATGGGGCCCGTTCTACAAACTGCCCGAAATTCTGCCTGCGGAACGGTCGACCGTACCCTACCGGCGGTCGACCGTGGGCTGCGTAATGGAGGTCTGGAACACCAACGGTCCACCCCGGTCTTCCATCGTGGCAGGCGGTCGACCGTCACGGTGGTGGCCGACGGACGGTCAAGGGAAACGGTCCACCGTCCTTAGCGGCGGTCGACCGTCCCGTAGACAGTCCACTGACTTTGGTTTCGTTTTGATCCGTTTTGTGAACATAACGCCTTGATTCTTTTTAGAACAATAATGTAAACATTTATGAATATATTCCTAGTGATTCCTAGGCCATTATGTACGATTCTCACGTAGTGAACGTTTTGATGGCTAACCTACGAACATGCATAGATTCTACTTAGGTTGCGTACGATATTCCTATGAATATAACAACATAGATTATAACTTGATGTTCTAGAATTAGAGGAGACAACTACTCGGCTCTAAATGATGGGTTTGATGGAACGATGAGACGAGATGAACGAACGAACCAATAAATGAACGACTTCTCGCGTAGCCCTCCTTCTCTTCTACCTCCTCGTCTTCTCGCCGGAAAAACTCCTCGCCTGGCTGCCGCTGTGGTTGGCCGAACAACAATAGAGTGAGAGGGAGAGTTGTGATGTTGAATGGGAGTTACAAAATGTGAGGGAGGTGAAGGAAATTAAGAGGGAGTTGATATATATAATGATGGTGGAGTAATGAGTGCTAATGGTGAACTAAAATGGGGAAGATGAATGGTGAGGGAAGGTGTAGTGGCGTGTGATTAATATTGGGGAGTTACCTCCCTAAATTCCACTCCGTTGTGTAAAACCTGACCTGAACGGTACGCGGGTTTCCCCCCGAACGGGTCCGAATTGAGATCCATTTGTGTTTCCGGAATTAGACAGTCAAAACGAACTTAATGACATGTTCAAATAACTTTTCTAAGAACGTTTATTTTCCTCAACTTCCGGATCCATCCCAATCATTAATTAATTTATTTACTTAATTAATGTCGAGAGACCCGTTATTAAAACATCTTTTATAATTAAAATACATTAGCTTTAGAAAGCCATTTAAAGAGATCGAAATCTCAATATTTATTAAAAAAAAATAATGAGTCTCAATAAATAATATTTATTTATTTAAAATATTGGCTAGCTATTAGGCCGGTTTGTAGGGCGTTACAAATAGCTCAAGATTACCATTCCGGACAAATACCCAATCCCAAATATTGACGAGTTACTAGATGAGCTACACGGAGCAGTCTACTTCTCAAAAATAGACTTTGGGTCTGGTTATCACCGGATTAGAGTACAAGAAAGTAACATTCTAAAAACAGCTTTTCGTAAGCACAACACACATTACGAAATCACGGTAATGCCCTTCGAGTTGACTAATGCTCCTGCTATTTTTCAGTATGCTATTGTGATTGATAATCAGAGGTGTTCCTCATTATACATTATTACATAACACAACATGACTATATATGCATAAGAAGGGTGCTAATATAAGGAAACTAAATCTCCCATATTAATGCCTAAATCACCCATATTAATGGCCAAATCAGATCCTGCCATATTCTCAGGACTTAACTAAAATACTAATATTATTACTAATAACATTCCCCCTCAAGTTGGAGCATATATATTTATCATGCCCAACTTGTTACATAAATACATAAGCCTGGTGCCATTTAGCGCTTTAGTAAGGAGATCTGCTAATTGATCTCCTATCTTCACAAATCCAGTAGAAATCAATCCCTTCTGTATTTTCTCCCGAACAAAGTGAAAATCTACTTCGATATGTTTCGTCCTTTCGTGAAAAACTGGTTTGGATGCAATATGAAGAGCAGCTTGGTTATCACACCATAGTTTCGCAGGGATGGGAGCTTTGAAACCAGTTTCATTTAGGAGGTGATATATCCATATTATTTCACACGCAGCTTGTGCCATGGCTCTATATTCCGACTCAGCACTAGAACGAGAGACAACGTTCTGCTTCTTGCTCTTCCACGAAACCAGATTCCCACCCACAAAGACATAATAACCGGAGGTGGACCTACGATCATCCTTCGACCCTGCATAATCTGCATCTGCATAACTTTCAATGTTCATGTGACCGTGATTTGAATAGACAATACCACGACCGGGAGTTCCTTTCAAGTAACACAGAATATGTTCCACTGCAGCCCAATGATCAATTCTTGGGGATGCCATAAACTGACTTACCACGCTAATAGGATAAGCAATGTCTAGATGGGTCACAACCAAGTAGTTCAGTTTACCCACTAATCTTCTGTACCTCTCTGGATCACTGAATGATTCACCGTATTTCGTTAATTGCATGTTAGGAACCATAGGTGTATTACATGGTTTGGATGCGAGCTTTCCTGTCTCAGTTAACAAATCAAGCGCATACTTCCTCCATATAAGCAATATACCTTTCTTGCTTCTCAAAATTTCAACCCCTAGAAAATACTTCAACGGTCCAAGATCCTTTGTCTGAAACTGACTATGGACAAATGCCTTGAGTGATGAAATTCCTGCAAAATCATTTCCCGTAATAATGATGCCATCTACATAAACAACCAGTAAGATGATTCCACCCGTAAATCGCTTATAAAAGACAGAATGATCAGATTGGCCTTTCACCATTCCAAAGCGCTTGATTACTTGGCTGAATTTGCCATGCCATGCACGAGGACTTTGTTTTAGTCCGTATAAAGATTTATGCAGCCGACATACCTTCCCATTCTCTCCCTGAGTAACAAACCCTGGAGGTTGCTCCATATAAACCTCTTCATCAAGAGCACCATGAAGAAACACATTTTTGATATCTAATTGATGCAATGGCCAATCATGACACGCAACCATAGAGATGACAAAGCGAACAGAAGTGAGCTTGGCAACTGGAGAGAAAGTCTCATCATAATCCACACCATAGGTTTGAGCATATCCTTTGGCCACTAGTCGAGCTTTGAGGTGAGCCACAGACCCATCTAGATTAAAATTAATAGAGAAGACCCACTTGCAACCAATAGATTTCTTGCCGATCGGCAATGAAACTAGACTCCAAGTATGATTTTGCTCCAAGGCTTTCATCTCTTCTATCATGGCAGTACACCATCCAGGATGAGAGAGTGCTTCTCTGATAGTTTTAGGAAGAGGGACAGAATCTAGAAAAGAGGTGAGTGCACAAGCAGTAGAAGACAAATGATCATAAGAGACACAATTAGAAATAGGGTAGGTGCAGGATCGCTTACCTTTACGCAAAGCGATGGGTAGATCATCAGCATGATAAGGATCCAATGACGGAGTGCTTGACTCAGGGCGTGAGACTGGTGTAGGGGTACGTGGTTGATCAGTCAATGTGGTAGGAAGAGATTCAGGGATAACTGAAGGTGTAACTGGTTTTTTTCTACGGGAGTAAACCTGAATGATGGGAGGCACACCAGTAGAGGGCGTTGTAGCACTAGAGGTAGTGTAAAATAAAATGTCACCAGAACCCTCCCCCTCATTTACAGAATCTGTAGGTGAAGAAAAAGGAACATGCTCATGGAAACTCACATCGATGGAGACAAGATATCGACCAAGACTAGGACAATAACAACGATATCCCTTTTGAACCCGGGAGTACCCCAAAATGATGCACTTCAAGGATTTTGGATCTAGCTTAGTGACAGATGGACGAACATCTCTTACAAAACATGTACACCCAAAGAGCTTTGGTGGGACTCAAAAAATAGGTTTATCAGGGAAGAGAATATGAAATGGTGGCTGGCCACCAAGGACACTCGATGGAAGGCGATTAATCAAGAAACATGTCGTGGCAACGGCATCAGCCCAAAACATCTTGGACACTTTTGGTTGAAACAAGAGTGCCCGTGGAGTTTCAAGCAGTTGTCGATTTTTGCATTCAGCCAGAGGCGGATCCAGAAATTTGGAACCATGGGGTCCCATTTTTAAAATTATAAACATATACTCTGTATTTATACTGCATAATTATTCACACACTATAAACAAAATAAACTAAAAAATTTTCTATCTAAATGAACATTCAAAATATGATTCTCAAATAGGTTTTTCAATGTCATAACTTCTACATCTGACAATTTTTTAAGATAAACTTTACTAATTGGATATAATGATTTTTTTTGCCAAAAGCCTCAATTTAGAACAAAAGATTTAGACATATTCATAATCTTTCTTTATCATACTTTAAGAATGGAAGTAAATTGTAAAAAGAATACAAATAAAATAAAAATTAGATTTGTTTAGGAAAAGGATACTTGTAAAAAGACCAAGAAAAATTGTGAACTCTTTTCATGCATCAATATATTCTATACCCACAATTTTCTGAACAACCGGAAAGAGTACAAGTTTGAAGTTATAATGTTTTATATTCAAAATAAATGAATACTTCGAAGTACATTTTTTAGGTTTCACGTAACAATAAAGAATGAGATTAACATTGTATTTCTTGTGTATTACTAATGTATAAGGATAGATGTAATTTTAGTTGATTGAAGGTTCTCATTGCATTTTCTAACTCCACTAAATTTTGAAACCACCCATAAAAGAATTAAACTAAAGAAATTTAAATAACACGTGCATTTGGATAGTTTGGTGGTCAAATTGAAAGAATTCTAATAATTATTTAATATTTAGGGTCCGTGTGATACACAGAATTGACAGAGTTATAATTAAATTAAAAGTTAAAATTTTATAGAATTGATTTGGATGGAATAAAATTCTCCAATTTCAATTTATTTTTGGCAATATCAATTTCAAATCTACATATTTTTGTGCTTCCAAATCATAGAACTAGAATTGTTATCTCTAATTCTATCGTTTGAATTCCGTGTATCAAACGAGGCCTTTAAATTGAAAGCCTAATGCAGTTATACGTTTTAATACAAAAAAAACTACCTCAAAAAATTCAATAAAATAATACTCCGTATATTGCATTAAAAATGTTCTTTAGAATACTTGAGGAATAAAATCGGCCGCGCTTCCACTTCACCATTCCGCTTAGTGTTTACATACAGGCTTTTCTTTAATATAGACTAATATATTAGGGAACCTAATATATATAAAATCCTACGTGGAGGTCCGTGGAGTCCCGGGACCCCGTGGGACTCAACGTGGGTCCGCCTCTGCATTCAGCTACTCCATTTTGGGCTGGAGTATCCACACACGAAGTTTGGTGGAGAATGCCACGGTCACGCATGTAGGCTTGGAAGGGGCTGGAAAGATATTCTTTAGCATTATCACCACGCATAATTTTAAGAGGCATATTAAATTGAACAGATTTGTATTCCAGAGCTTTGGCCGAGACTTCTCTCTGGCGACATAAGGCTACTGTAGCCCGTCACCATTGCCATCACTGTAAGAGCTTTGTTTTTGTGGTTTCTCTTCTCTTTGAGCTCGGATTCTTGTTCCCCATTTCTGGGCGAATCCACCCATAGGAGAAATCGTTGTTTACTGCTCCCTCCTGTGAGCGGTGGACGTTGACTTTGTTTGGTACTGTTCACCTTCTTCCCCGATGAACCTCTACTCTCTTCCTTGAAGTTCTTGCACTATGGGTTCCAGCAAAGCCCAGAGTACGAAGAAGGTCAAAAAAAGAAAGGGAAAGGAGATGACTCGTCGAAGCTACTGAGCATAGATACGGACGTTGCTGTTGACTTGGAGGAGAAGGAGAAGGACCAGGCTTCTTCCTTCACTTTTGAGACATCACCTCACTGTGAGGAGATTGAGGATACTGCTGCTCCATTGGAGACGAATACTCCAGTGACCCCCCATGTGCTCGACCTTATGCCTCAGCCAGAGAAAGCAACTGCAAAGCCTGTCACCTTTGCTGACCTTTTTAAGGGCAACAGAGACCCTGACCAAGGTATGATGTTGAAGCAATATGATGTTGGTGAAGGCATCTTGTGGGCTGCTTTACTGGTTGTTTCCCTGGCCTTAAAGCTGTCGATGCCATTGTTAAACGCTGGAATATTCCCTGTAGAATCATACCCCATTGTAAGGGTTGGGTGGTGCTGAAATTTGAAAATGACAAGGACAGGTATGAAGTGCTGGGAATGGAGAGGAGCAAGGCTTATGGCAAAGAGTTTAGGCTTAAAATACCCTCTCATGGCTTCATGTTTGACTTTGCTGAATTCACCACCTTGCCAGTATGGATTCAGTTACACAATGTTCCTTTGCAATTATGGTCAGAGGAGGGTATTGGGATGCTGGCTTCCAAAGTGGGTAAACCTCTTCGTACTGACCTGGTAACCAAACAACTTGGCAAAAGTGGTTTCTGCAGGGTTCTTGTTGAGGTGGATTTCTCTAAAGAACCAGTTACTAGCTTTGAGGTGGAATGTATGGGGAAAAACTATGTCCAAATAGTGGAATTTGAGGAGGAGCCCAAATATTGCTTCCACTGCCTGACATGGAACCATAGCCCATTCAACTGCAGAGCTTTGGAACAAAAGAAGAAGAAAGAATTGAGTAACTTGGTGGACATCAAGGCTTCTCAAATGCAATCTAAAGGTGATCCTAATGCCAAGAACAAAGGTAGTGGGGGGTACACTGAACCTAAAGGGGGTAATATCCCTTCATCTTCACACACTTCCAAGGAGATGGAAATACCCTTTACTGCTGGGATTGGTGTTTTGACTAAGGTACCTAAACCTACGGAAGTTTTGACTAACGTCCCTGCGAAACCTGGGGAAGCTTTGGCAGGATTAGAGAAGAAAAAGAAGAAAGGACAGGATGGTGCTCCTGCGGAGAAAAAATAGGATTTTAAGAAGGGAGGTAAGGGGCCTGGCCCCCCTCACAGATGAAGGTTCTGTGCTGGAACATTAGAGGACTAAACAGGTCCTCTAAGCAGAATTTTTTGTGTAAATATCTGATGGAACTTGGTGTCCATTTTGCCTGCATTTTGGAAATAAAAATTTCAGGAACCAAGTTAGAGGGGTTTGTGAATGCCAAACTACCTGGGTGGAAATGGTCTTCTAATTTTGATAATATTTCTGGAGGCCGTATGGTTATTTTGTGGAATCCATCCTTTTTTGCTTGCAATGTTTTGAGGTTGGGAGAATAGTACATCCATTGTGAGATCCAGTGCCTCACATCACAAAAGGATTTTTGCTTTTCTTTTGTTTATGGGCTGTACACAGTCCCTAAGAGGAGAGAACTCTGGGCTGAGCTTACTTCACTTGCTGGAAACATGGTCAAACCTTGGGCCATTTTGGGAGACTTTAATTGTGTCTTGGCTTCTAATGAGAGGACCAACTGTATGAGCTAGGGTGTGTACTATATGAATGATTTACTCCTCTTCAGAAGCTCCAACTGCCTTGAGGATGCACCTTCCAGAGGGAATTTCTTCGCTTGGCACAAAGGGAAAAAACTGGCTAAGCTGGACAGAGTGCTCATCAATCAGGGCTGGGATGACGTTGACCTAGCTCCTAATTGTGATTTTTTTGACTTCAACTTCTTCTCTGACCATTGCCCTATGCTCTTCCAATGTGGTAGCCAAATTTCCATAAGAAGCAAACCTTTTCGTTTCTTTAACATGTGGCTCAAGCATGATACCTTCCATGAATTGGTACTCCGGTCTTAGAAACCTGGGATCATTGGCTCCAAACAGTTCTCCCTGTGTTCTAAACTTAAGCGTTTGAAACCACCTTTGAAAGTACTCAACAAACATGTTTTTGGCCATATTTCTAGAAGGGCCTTGGAGGCCAAAGAAGAATACAACTTGGTGATGAAGGAGGTGGTGGCAGATCCTAACAACCAAACCCTCCTTGAGGATGCTGAAATCAAAAGAAAGCGTGCCAACTTCCTTCTTGATGCTGAGCTTGAATTTTACCAACAGAAAGCCAAGTGTGACTTTCTTTTGAAGTCTGACAGGTGCACTAGTTATTTTCATTCCTTGGTCAAGAAGAATAGGAATTGAAGAAGACTGTTGTGGCCTTTTTTATTAAAGAGGATGGTACTAAAACCACCTCTAATGAACAGGTGGTCAAGTGTTTCCTGGATTTCTACACTAATTTGTTTGGGAACACCACCAAGGTGGAGGCCATTTGTATTAATTATCTGGCTGCTGGACCTACTGTCCCCATTTCTGCCCACAGTACTTTGCTTGCCAGCGAGAGTCTTGAGGAGGTGAGGGAGGTGGTCTTTAATATTGGGAATGATAAGGCACCTGGTCCTGATGGGTATACTGCTGCATTTTTCAAAAACCAATGGCCTACTGTTGGGAAGGATGTTTATGATGCTGTTTTAGGATTCTTTACCTCTGGGAAGCTGCTGAAACAAATTAATCATGCTATGATTGTTTTATTACCCAAATCTGCCCATAATCCATCTGTAAAGGACTTTAGACCTATTGCATACCTAAATGTCCTTTACAAAATTATTACCAAAATCCTTGCAAGGCGTATGGCACCTCTACTGTCTGCCCTAATTGATCCAGCCCAAGGGGCTTTTGTCAAAGGGAGGTCACTTGTGGACAACTTGCTCTTGGCTCAACACCTAATCAGGGATTATGCTATTAAAAGGTCTACCCCTAGTTGCATGATCAAATTGGACATCACTAAGGCCTATGATACAGTCTCTTGGAGCTTCCTCCGGGACGTCATGGTTGGTCTAGGTTTCCCAACCAGGTTTGTTGGCCTTATCATGGAGTGTGTTTCATCTGCTTCCTCATCCCTTATGATTAATGGAAACTGCCACGGCTTTTTCAACAGCAAGCGTGGTTTGAGACAGGGGGATCCCATGGCACCAACCCTCTTTCTTTTTTGTATTGAATATTTGTCTAGGGTACTCAATACTAAAGCTAGAGAGGGTGTGTTTAATTATCACAAGGACTGTGTGGAGTTGGGGATTACACACTTGGCTTTTGCTTATGATCTTATGTTGTTTTCTCGGGGTAATTTCCATTCTGTTCAAATTCTTATGGATGCACTTAGCCACTTCTCCAGTGTGTCAGGTTTGAATCTTAATCCAACTAAAGCTAATATCTTCATTGCTGGTAAGTATAGGGAAATCAGCCAGAATATTCTAGATTTGGCATCTTTCCCTCGTGGGCATCTCCCTGTTAGATATTTGGGACTTCCCTTGGCCTCTCAGAGGATTTCTGAAGCTGATTATGCCCCCTTGTTCAAATCTGTGGATGGTTTCCTTTCCAAGTGGGCAACCTTGAAGCTTTCTTATGCTGGGAAACTGGAATTGATTAGGGCTGTGATTCAGGGGGTGCAGTCCTTTTGGCTACAGGCCTTCCCAGTCCAAAAGTACGTTCTGGATCGCATTACATCTTTATGCCGTAACTTCCTTTGGGGGAGTAAATTTGCTAAAGTGGCTTGGGCTGATGTTTGCAAACCCAAAACAGAGGGGGGGCTGGGCCTTAGAGATGCCGGGAACTGGAATAATGCTCTGTTATGCAAGCTCCTTTGGAATCTGGCAGCAAAGAAAGATTCTCTTTGGGTCAAGTGGGTCCATTGTGTTTATCTTAAACAGGAAGATATTTGGCAGTGGCAACCCAAGAAGAGGCATACTGTCTTCTTCAAAAGGTTAGCCTATGTGTGCGGGCTTTTGACCCAAAAGCTTGGTGATCATATTCCCTCTTTGGAAGTGGCTATGCAAACTCTTTGTATGGGAGGGAACCTTGTTCCGAGTAAGGTTTATGATTTGTTTAGGGTTAAGGCTAATCTCAAGCCGTGGATGTCCTTTATCTGGCATTCAACTATTCCCCCAAAGTGCTCCTTTACGATGTGGCTTGCACTTAGGAGGAGGTTGCCCACTAAAGCTAACTTGGAATTCTTGGGTTTACCCTTGGACTGTACTCTGTGTGGTCAAGGCCTGGAGGATGTGGATCATCTGTTTTTTCAATGCTCTTTTTCAAGGCGGGTTTGGGGAGTTATTAAGTTATGGCTTGGAATAGAGGGACAGTTGGGGTCACTGGACAGGGCTATCAGATGGCTGAGAACCTTTCGTAGAGCTGGTGCGCTTTTGAAGAAGATGAGGAAAGTGGCTTTGGCATGTACGGTATTCCACCTTTGGAAACAACGTAATGCAACTTGTTTTGAACATGAACCTCTACGGGTTGAGGTTGTGATTTGTAAAATCAAAGTCATGGTCTACTCTATCATGGGAAGACTGTGGCCTTTGTACTCCTTTCCATCTTGATTTTTATGTTTGTTGTGCTTTGTTGTTACTTGGGCCTGCGTGCTGATGTTTGTCAATAGCTTGGTTTATCGTTAGTTGGTGTCTATATGTGTATTTTGGCCTGTGTGCTGTGGTTTCGGATGTGCTGTCTTGGTTGTATAACAAATTGGTGTTGTAGCCAATTTGCTCTATGATTTTGGCATTTCGCCTTTTTTGAGCTCGGGTATGCCCGTTCCATTTGTATATTCCTATTCTCATTCTATTTACATTTTTATCTAAAAAAAGAGGCATATTAAATTAAGTTTGGATTTCAGCACAAAATGAATGAAAGTGAGAAAATAATTCAGAACAAGATTTCATTAAATAGAGCCAAGTCATACATGAATAGTCATCAACAAAAGTAACAAAGTACCAGAATCCGGGTTTTGACACAACCGAGAAAGGACTCCAAACGTCAGAATGAACCAACTCAAAAGGAGCACTTACACGTAGATTTATTCTAGGACTCAAACTAACACGATGGTGTTTAGCAAAACTACATGATTCACACTCTAAAACAGAGAGATGTTGAAATTGAGGATAAATTTTCTTTAACAGGGACAAGGATGGATGACCAAGACGATAATGAATCTCAAGAGGTGACTCAATCCCAACACAAGCAGCTGCTTTAGGAATGGAAGTGTTGAGAAGATACAGGCCATTAGTCTCACGTCATTCACCAATAATCTTCTTCGTCGTAAGATCCTGAAACACACAATGGTCAGAAAAGAATGTGACAAAGCAATTAAGATCACGAGTAAGTCTACTAAGAGACAACACATTAAATGAGAAATTGGGTAAACTCAAAACAGAAGACAGATGCATATTTGGAGTTAGGATAACCGAGCCTGACCCAAGGACCTTAGATGTGGAACCATCAGCAAGGGTAACAGGGAATGAGATGTCTAGGGCTGAAAAGTGGAGAAGACACTAGGATTACCTGACATATGATCTGTGGCTCCGGAATCAATAACCCACTTGGAGGAAGACGAGACAAGACAAGCACTACCGTTACCTGAATTCATAATTGCCATCATAGAAGGAGATGATCGCTGCAGAAGTTCCTTGAACTGGAGGAATTAGGCATACTCATCTGTTGAAGTAGGGGGGTTAGAATTTTCACCCAAGGCAAAGTGTGCAGCTCGTCCCCTTTGATTCACACGTTGAAGTTTCCTACAATCACGCTTATAATGTCCCTCTTTGTGACAATAATGACAGATTATGGGCTCTTGATTCTGTAGGGTGCCACTGCGAACGAATGACTTATATGGTTGCTTTGGTGACTCAGTTTGCATCCTCTGACTTATAAGAGCATTCTGGGGTGCACCATGTGAAGGCTCTATGGGTTTTACACTTTCACTACATTGAATCCGTGAGTACCCATCCTGTAAAGTGGGAACCTCAGAGTCTGCAAGGACCCTTTCTCTGGCAGCCTCAAATCTCGGGGCCAAGCCTGCCAAGAAACTCATTGTTGCCATCTGCTCTCGCTGTTGTTGCTGAGTTTTGACATCTAGAGTGAAGGGCATTAATGAATTTAAGGCCTCATATGCCTTCTTGAAGTCCATGAAGTATGCTTGAAGAGATTGATCATGCTGGTCTGCCCGATAGAAAGCCTTACATACGTCATAGATACGAGTAAGATTTCCCTTACCTGAATATAGAAATTCCAAATAGTCCATCAAGTCTTTAACTATTTCACAATGGCCAACTAACCCAAGCACATCCCCATCAATTGAGTTCCGGATTTGGAGGAATAGTCGAGCATCATCCCTCAACCACACTTTCTTAGTAGTTGCATCCTTAGAAGGATCATCAGTCATATGATCGTCCTTGTCAGTACTTCGGAGATATAATTTAATAGTCGTGACCCATTCAAGATAATTAGAGGAATTAAGTTTCCTCTCTGTGATTTTTGACATGACTGGAAAAACTTCAAACATGACACTAGACTTATCACCCATTTCAATGGACTAAAATTTGAACAAAACCTGATTGGCAGAGGAAGACAGAGCAAAAATCACCCACTGAATGTCCAAATTGAGTCTGCACAAGTGCTTAAATGACTCAGGCGACCCTGACAATGATTTTTCACAGTGGATCTGACCAGCACTGCCTGGGCGTGAGGTCTCCAACAAAGGATAGATTCTCTAGAATTGTTCTCCTGCAACGTGCGACTCCACCCACGGTGGCGGTGACGTCAGGCGAGCACCCTTAAAGACATCGTCAAAATGGCAGAAGCCCTTTTTTTTTACAAATAATGAACCCTAACCCTAGAGCACACTGGCTCTGATACCATGTGATTGATAATCAGAGGTGTTCCTCATTATACATTATTACATAATACAACATGACTGTATATGCATAAGAAGGGTGCTAATATAAGGAAACTAAATCTCCCATATTAATGCCTAAATCACCCATATTAATGGCCAAATCAGATCCTGCCATATTCTCAGGACTTAACTAAAATACTAATATTATTACTAATAACAGCTATGAATGATATTTTCTGTCCTTATTTAAGGAAATTTGTACTAGTATTCTTTGACGGCATACGAGTTTACAGCAACAGCTCCTAGCAGCATCTTGTTCACCTGTGCCAGGTACTTTAGGTATTACAACAACATGAATACTTTGCCAACCGTAAAAAATGTGATTTTGGGTGTTCACGTGTGGCATATCTGGGCCATCAAATTTCAATTCGGGGGATGGAAACTGATCTTGAGAAGATTAGAGCAGTGGAGGAATGGCCTACTCCTAAGGATGTCACATCCTTACGTGGCTTCTTGGGGCTTACCGGCTACTACAGGAGGTTTGTACAGAATTATGGAATCATTGCCAAGCCATTAACTGAGTTTGTTAGAGAATAATATATTAAATATTATTTAATATATGGCTTAGCATGATTTGTGGAGATGGAGGAGCACCGTATGCATGCATGGCGCCATTCACGGAGATTTCATTCCTTGTTAATATTGTTACCTATTTTATAGCTAGTTTATGTATGGTAGATGTGTATATTGAATAGGTTTCCTTGTGTAAATCTAAGGCTATATAAGTGGTAGCCGATGACATAAACAGGCAGGTTGGAAATACATTTTCCATACAAAATCTTTCATGGTATCAGAGCCTTCGGGCCTTAAAGTTTTTCCGTAAATTTTTTTACGATCGATGGCGACTCCAGGAGAGAAGAAGTCCGACGGCGACACCGGCGGTAATGGCGCTTCTCAACGTCGCACGATCTCGCCGTATGACCTTCATGCTAACGATAATCCGGGGTTGATTATCACGCAGGTCATCCTCAAAGGTGAAAACTACGAAGAGTGGGCACGTGCAATTCGTACCGCTCTTCGTGCTCGGAAAAAATTTGGTTTCGTGGATGGGTCAATCTCGAAGCCCGGTGATGACTCCCCCGATCTGGAAGATTGGTGGACCAATAACTCACTTCTTGTTTCCTGGATCCGGAACACGATTGAGCCGTCACTCCGTACGACGATCTCGCACATGGAGATGGCGCGAGACCTATGGGATGATATCAAGGCCCAGTTCTCCGTTGTCAATGGCCCTCGTATTCAACAACTCAAAAGGGAATTGACAACTTGTGATCAACGTGGCTTGACTATTGCATCTTATTATGGTCGTTTGAAGAAACTTTGGGACGACTTGAATGATGTTGACCCATTTCCTACTTGCACGTGTGGTAAGTGCACGTGTAATCTTGCTCAACAATTGGAGAAAAAGAGAGATGAAGAGAGAGTGCATCAATTCTTGATGGGACTTGACGAAGCTTTGTACGGTCATCTTCGTTCGACCATACTTTCACAAGAACCCTTTCCCACTACAAGCCGGGTGTACCGCATCATGACGCAGGAAGAAACTGCCCGTGCCGTCCAGAATCGTGAACGCCCCGAGAGCGCCGCCTTCGTAGCTCGGACTATTGCCATGGATAGGTCACACGAGAAATCTGTGACCTGTTCACATTGTAAAAAGACAGGCCACACCAAAGACTCCTGTTATCAAATCCATGGTTATCCGGAAGGCTGGGGACGTCATGGCGGCAGTGGTGGACGAGGCCGCGGGCGTGGGCGCGGCGGCAATGCTGGCAGAGGGGCTGCTGGACAGCCGCAGCATGCTGCTCATGTGGCGACAGGAGGGCTGCCCTGAGGTAATTCTAGCGGAGAGACTTCTACTGGGGAAGTTGTTCCCTCTTTATCTGCCGAGCAATGGGAAACGTTCAAGGCACTTCTAGCCTCTGTTAAGGATGCCTCGTCTGAAAAATTATCAGGTATTCCTATTACTAAACGATGGATTATAGACACGGGTGCAACAAACCATATGACAGGAGACTTACAATGCTTGATTGATGTACGGTCTATATCGGGTTGTTGGATTCGTTTACCAGACGGAAGGACGGTAACAGCTACTACTTCGGGCCGTGTTAGGCTAAATGACTCCGTCGTTTTGAACAATGTTTTCTTTGTTCCTGATTTGAGCTGTGATTTACTATCAGTGTCACATTTGATCAAAGAGACTAATTGCTTGGTGAAATTCGACGGTTCATTATGTTTGTTACAGGACCGTACCACGATGCAGGTGATTGGTGCGGGTAGACAATCGGATGGCTTATACTATTTTCAGCAAGCATCGATGGGCAGTGCATTATCAACCGTAAAGGAATGTCAATTTGATCTTTGGCATCGACGTCTTGGACATCCGTCACCAAAAGTTTTATCTTTTCTATCGGTTGCTCGTGATAGTAAATTAAGTACTTTGAATAGTGGACCTTGTGCTATTTGTTTACGTGCAAAATAGTGTCGTGCGTCTTTTCCTTCAAGTTCTAATAAAGCTACTACATTGTTTCAAGTTATTCATATTGATGTATGGGGTCCGTATAGGACACCTAGTTTAGATGGATTTACATCGTTTTTGACTATTGTGGATGATTTTTCCCGTGGCACTTGGGTTTATTTACTCCGTGCAAAATCTGAGGTACCGTTGATCTTTCGTCAGTTTTATGCTTTGATTGATCGCCAGTTTAATAAAAAGCTAAAGATTGTACGAAGTGATAATGGCACTGAGTTCGAATGTCTTGATCCATTCTTCCGAGAACATGGTATTTTGCATGAAACATCGTGTCGTGGGACACCGCAACAAAATGGTTGGGTCGAGCGTAAACATCGACACATTCTCAATGTCGCTCGTGCCCTCCGTTTTCAGGCATTCCTCCCGATCGAATTTTGGGGGGAGTGCGTGCTTACCGCTGCGTATCTCATCAATCGTACTCCTTCCACTGTGTTGAATGGCAAGACCCCTTATGAACTTATGTTTGGTTGTCCACCGGTATTGACACATATTCGTACCTTTGGATGTTTGTGTTATGTTCACAATCAAGATCGACATGGAGATAAATTCGAGCCCCGAAGTGTGCAGGGTATTTTTTTGGGATATCCCCATGGGAAGAAAGGATGGCGTGTTTACTGTCGAGACACGGGAAAATTCTTTCTCTCCCGTGATGTAATATTTCATGAAAATGTTTTTCCATTTCAGGAGAATTTTCCTTCCGCCACAGCTGTTCCAGTAGCCAATCCCCACATGCCATATTTAGATGATGAAGATGATGTTGGGGTTCAGCATTCACCAAAAAAGGGGGGCCGTATCTCTTCTTCGCAGGTTAGTGAACCTGCTGCTGTTTCTGCTTCAAATCCGGCGGCCCATCTTGAGACAGAATCTGCCCAGCCGTCGGATGCTGCCCAGGTGCCGGATGCTTCGACTCTCTCCACGACGGCAGGAGCTCAGAGCTCGCAGGCGTCCACTGATCATCCAGCCAGCATCATCCAGCCAGAGATTCCAGCCGTCCAGCCGGTCCCTTCCCGTGCTGAATCCTCGTCTGTTTTGGGACGCGGTCATCGTCAACGAACACCAAATGTACGGCTCACGGATTATCAAACGTATGCCGTCACACATGAGGTCTCCAATGATGTTTCTGATTGCAGGTATCCTTTAACGCATTCCATTGGCTATGCACGTTTTTCAGCTTCTCATCGGGCTTACTTAGCCGCCGTCGACTCCGGTTCTGAACCACAGACTTATAAGGCAGCCGTAAAATCCCCGCTTTGGCAGCAAGCAATGTCCGAAGAAATTGCAGCCCTGGAAAAGAATGATACTTGGACACTCGTCCCATTGCCACGTCACAAAAAGGCTTTGGGTTGCAAATGGGTGTACCGTATCAAGCGAAAATCTGATGGCTCCATCGAGCGCTACAAAGCTCGGCTCGTTATTTTGTGGAATCACCAAATTGAAGGGATTGACTACCAAGAAACCTTTGCTCCGGTTGTTAAACTCACTACTGTTCGTGTTCTTCTTGTTATTGCTGCTACACGCAACTGGGAACTTCATCAAATGGATGTTCACAATGCCTTTCTTCATGGCGATTTGATTGATGAAGTTTACATGCGTCCTCCACCGGGCTATCATTCACGCACGCCAGATCTGGTGTGTAAGTTGCAGAAGTCCCTTTATGGTCTGAAGCAAGCACCACGGTGTTGGTTTGCAAAATTATCTGGAGCGCTGCGCAAATATGGATTTGTTCAATCCCACTCTGATTACTCATTATTCTCTTTCCACCGAGGTACTTCTGTGGTGCATGTTCTTGTCTATGTGGATGATCTGGTAATTGCTGGAAATAATTCTCTTGAAATTTGCCTTTTCAAAAAATACCTTTTCGATTGTTTTCATATGAAAGATTTGGGTGTTCTCAAATATTTTCTTGGCATCGAAGTTGCCAGGAACCCTACGGGTATCTTCTTGTGCCAAAGGAAATACACTCTTGATATTCTTTCCGAGACAGGCTTGCTTGGATGCCGTGCACTTGGTGCTCCTTTGGAGCCTAATCACAAGCTTGCTTTGGCCACTGGACCTCTTCTTCACGACCCGGGCGCGTATCGTCGTCTAGTCGGACGGTTGGTGTATTTATCTGTGACTCGTCCAGACCTCTCTTATGCTGTTCATACGTTGGCCCAATTTCTTCAAGCGCCGAAGATTGACCATTGGAATGCCGCCCTGGGCGTGGTTCGATATTTAAAGGGTGCTCCCGGTCATGGAATTCTTTTACGTTCTGATAGTGCTCATCACTTGACTGGATGGTGTGATTCAGATTGGGCTACTTGCCCCTTGACTCGTCGTTCTTTGACCGGTTGGTTTGTTCAACTGAGTGTGTCGCCCATCTCTTGGAAAACAAAGAAACAACCCACTGTGGCTCGCTCTTCCGCTGAGGCTGAGTATCGTTCTCTTGCTGTCTTAACTTGTGAGCTTAAATGGTTACGTGGGTTATTGCGTTTTCTTGACGTTCCTCATCCCGCACCGATGCAGATTTTTTGTGATAGTACTGCTGCACTTCATATTGCTGCTAATCCGGTATTCCATGAGCGCACTAAACATATTGAGATCGACTGTCATTTTGTTCGCGATGAGTTATTACGAGGCACCATTCGTACATCTCATGTTTCCACTCATAATCAGTGTGCGGACATTCTTACAAAGGCTCTTGGAAAGGGACGGTTTGATGCTCTACTTCCCAAGTTGGGCATTTGTTTGTTACACGCTCCAACTCTAGGGGGGGTGTTAGAGAATAATATATTAATTATTATTTAATATATGGCTTAGCATGATTTGTGGAGATGGAGGAGCACCGTATGCATGCATGGCGCCATTCACGGAGATTTCATTCCTTGTTAATATTGTTACCTATTTTATAGCTAGTTTATGTATGGTAGATGTGTATATTGAATAGGTTTCCTTGTGTAAATCTAAGGCTATATAAGTGGTAGCCGATGACATAAACAGGCAGGTTGGAAATACATTTTCCATACAAAATCTTTCAGAGTTGACTAAGAAGAATGCATTTACATGGAATTGTAGAAGTCAACACGCATTTGAGGAGTTGAAAGTTCCCCTTACTAGTGCTTCTGTTTTATGTCTCCCAAATTTTAATACTGAATTTGTGGTGGAATGCGATGCTTCTATGGATGGTATTGGTGCTATTTTGATGCAGGAGGGACATCCAATTGCTTTTTACAACAAGGGTCTAACATACTCTAACAGGCATCAATCAGCTTATGACCGTGAGCTACTGGCCTAGGCGTTAGCTCTTGAAAAATGGCGACATTACTTGTTGGGTCGTTATTTTGTGGTACGCACAGACCATCATAGCCTCAGATACCTGCTAGAGCAGAGGGTTCTAACAAATACCCAGCAGCAACTTATCCTCAAGTTGTTGCCCTTCGATTTCTGTATCATTTACAAACTTGGGAAGGAGAATGTAGGCGCTGATGCTCTATCTCGTCGTCCCCACCAAGATGAGTTCCTTCATTTGGTGGTGCCGATACCTCTTGACTTTTTGAACTTTGAAGATTCCTTGCAGCAGGACCCAGTTACTAAGAAAATTTTGGATGAGTTGAATTTAGATCCTTTTGCTATTCTTGGGTAAACTAAGGTAAAGGGAAAGCTGTTCTATCAGGGCCGTTTGTTTGTTCCTCAGTCCTCACAGTTCTCCAATATGGGCCAAATTGATCGAAGAGGGTCACCTCACGCCATCTGGTGGCCATGGAGGGTTCCTCAAGACATTGAAGCGGCTTACTGGTACCTTCTTTTGGCCCAACATGAAAGCAGATGCTAAAAAATTTGTCTAATAGTGCCATGTTTGTCAACAAAACAATTATGAGACTCTATCTCCTGCAGGGCTATTACAACCACTACCAGCACCTGAGAGGATTTGGGAGGATATATCTCTTGATTTCATTGTGGCTCGCCGCGTTCATGAGGGTTTGACACTATATTAGTGGTAGTTGACCGCCTGAGTATGTACTGCCATTTTATCCCTTTGAGTCACCCATACACTGCCAAGACAGTTGCAGCTTGTTTTTGTGAAGAGGTGGTCCGACTACATGGAATTCCTTGCTCCGTTCGTCCTTTCAGATAAAGACCCTCTTTTCCTTAGCATGTTTTGGCAGGAGTTGTTCTGGTTGAGTCAAACCCGTTTGCGGATGAGCACTTCTTATCATCCCCAGACAGATGAGGTGGGGGTCAATCGCTCCTTGGAAGCATACATGAGGTGCTTCACACATGAACAACCACGCCAATGGAGCAAGTTCAGGTGTTGGGCGGAGTACTTGTTCAATACAGGATTTCACACTTCGTCTCAAGTGACTCCTTTCAAGGTGGTTTACGGAAGGGGCCCACCAGTAATCCACCCTTTTGTTCGAGGCGAAACTCTGATTGCAGAACTGGCAGAACAACTAGAGGCTAGGGACAATGTTTGAGACCCCTACAAGATAATCTCAGAAAAACCCAAGACCGAATGAAGAGCTATGCGAACCAGCACCGTAGGGACATACATTTCAAAGTTGGGGATGCTGTTTTCCTCTGCATCCAACCCTTCCGACAGAATTCCCTTGCTCCAAGAAAGTTTACGAATTGGGCCCTACTTGATTACAATGAAGTTCGGACCCGTGGCTTATGAGTTTCAACTTCCAGATACTGCTCGTATCCACCCCGTTTTTCATGTGTCTCTTTTACGACCAGCTAGGGGCGTTACTCCGTCTAACCCTCCAGCTGCTTTGCCCCTTTCTTCAGATCTTGAACTGCTCCTGGAGCCGGCTTCAGTCCTTGACCACCGTTGGAAGGGGTCTACCTTAGAATTGTTAATTCAATGGAAAGGTATTAGACCAGATGAGGAGTCAAGTTGGCAAGAGTATGAGTCAATACGGAAGCAATATCCAGACTTCCAACGTGAGGACACGGTGGTTTTCAAAAATGGGAGTAATGAGAGGCACCATGTTATGGGGGTTTCCATATTTAGTCCTCTATTATCAAATATTACTTCCGTAGTCTTTTTTTAAAGGGTGTCTTTCCACAAATGGTCCTTTTTCTGATCTTCTGGCATGTTGATATTAATTTAAAGGCTAAAAGTATAATTTGACATCAACATTATGTTTAGTGACATGTTCCGATATTGGTTAAGCGGATTGTTAGAATAATAGACCAACGCTAGAGGGGGGGGTGAATAGCGTTTGATCGGAGAAATCGCAGGAATTAAAAAATTTAAAGAGAAGTAAAGAGAAGAGTAAAAGGCACACCGAATTTTACCCTGGTTCACCACAACTTGTGGCTAATCCAGCCTCCCGAGAGACTCTCTCGAGCTACACTACTATCTCGTTAAGCTTGCGGGTGCTTAACAAACCGTTACAACTTGAGAGTTCGAGTCACACGAACCTCAACGAATCCTTCAAAGGAAACAGACCTTCCTTTGAATCAACCGAGAGAGATACTATCTCTCAACGTGTCTAAGAACACAAGTACACTCAAGAACGAGACTCTCTTATAGAGTAGATTNAAAGGAAACAGACCTTCCTTTGAATCAACCAAGAGAGATATTATCTCTCAACGTGTCTAAGAACACAAGTACACTCAAGAACGAGACTCTCTTATAGAGTAGATTATGAGTAAACTAAGTACGCTAAAGAACAACTCAACCTTCACACACAAATGGCTCTAGAAAGCTATGGAAAATGATGATATCTGAATGCAATGAAAGTATAGATATTGTGAAGTGAATTGGTGAGAAAAGCAGACCCAAACACCCCTTTTTATAGTGCCAAAGAAGGCTCCAACGGACCAATGCATTAAAGGGGTGATTAGCTTGATTTGTGGGATTGAAAAGATTTGGGATCTGCAGAATATTGGCTTCCCATCGATGTTTAGGACTTACCCATCGCTGGTAAGCCAATTTTCCTTCAGATTTGAAGTCAACGGTCACCTACCCATCGATGGGTAAAAGCTTCCCATCGCTAGTTGGGAGGTTGACTTCCAAACAAGGAAAGAATCAACCTTAAATGACCTACAACGGTCATGGCTTCCCATCGATGGTTTACCCTTACCATCGCTGGGTTCCCATCGATGGGATAGGTCTCCCATCGCTGGGTAAGGTTGTTCTGCCTTGTGATAATTTTGCACCAGGGCTTTAACAGCGATGGGTAGAACTTCCCATCGCTGTTTGGCATGGTTCTGGAAATTGGTTTGGCTAAGGGGCCGCTTACCCATCGATGGGAAGATCTTCCCATCGCTGGGTGGGTGGTTAGTCAGGAACCCATGGTTTTTGCCTTAACCACGGCCTAGCCAACCGATGCGAAAACCGACCGAAAAATTCAAAGTTCTCCAAAATAAAAACCAAGTGCTTAAAACACTTATTTGATGCATTTGGCTAAGAAATCAAGTAAGACACTTTAAAAACCACGTCATTTGAGTGAAAAACACGGCTAGCCAAGATAATGTCGTTTTTGAATGATTTTTGTCAAACGACCAAAAGCAAAAGATGGTTTTCAAGGTGTTTTTGTTGGAGAACCGTTTAAACATGCCAAAGAGTGAAAACCAATCATAAAAAGTTGAAAACCACTTGGTTGATTCGGACGCCAAAAACCAATGCCGATAACCGAGAGCCGAACGCCGGTTTCTGAAACCCGAACGCCGGATGGCTTGGTTTTTGGTTTGGGCGAACACCAAGTGTTTTTAATGACTTAAACAAGTTTGAAAAACATTTTTATGATTTAAGAAATGCAAGAAAAGGTTTTAGCTTAAAGAGCCAATGCGTGAGGGTTGGGTCGGTCTTGATTACAATTATGACCGAGTCAACAAAGCTAAGGACTTTGGTCTTCGTTCTTGGTCTCTTTTAGCTCTCGTTCTTTATCTTCGTTCTTCGCCTTGTATGTTTAATGTTTGTCTTGATCACGGCGGTTTGGCATTATCCAAACCTGTTACAAAAACGAACACGGCTTTAGTACGAAAACGTGACAAGCCCGTGTTTCAACACGGATAACACAAAGCGCATTAGATATGCTTACTCAGCTTCACTGCTGAGCGTGTAGTGTGTTTTATTTGTTACACGCATGTAGGCAGAATGAATGAATGACATATTCCTGGCAGTGGATGGGACGAGACAGTCTTGGTGGATTTATGGATAAAATAAATGATTGTGTTATTATGAGACATGGTTAAAATTCGCTTCTGTAATTAAACACTCCGTATTTTCTACAGTTATGTATTGAATATTATTTATGACAAATAAAGATGTTTGAAATGTTTTAAATTTTTACAATTACCAAATTTATACTTTAGTGCGAAAGGGACTGCAGACCTAGACAGATTAAGGTGTTACAGAACGAGAGATGGAACCAAGGGTCGAGGTTAGGATTGACTCTCTCTTAGTTCACAAGGTTAACAAGTTTTGGTATCTTGGCTTAATGCAGAGTTAGATGGGGACGTAGCCATCATATTGGAGCAGCTTCGGCTAAGCAAAGGTTGGTTTCAAGACTGTTATGCAACAAAAAGATTTCACCAAGAATGAAAGGTAAGTCTTACCAGTCCTATGAAGTATGGGATCGAGTGAGGAGCAATTAAGAAAATGTCATACGTCCAATACATGCGGCGGAGATGCGGATGTTGCGCGTGTTGGGTGTTGTGTTCAAAGACACGGTTTGATAGGACTTTGAATGAGGATTTTCGAGGACATGTAGACATTGCACTTGTGGAAGACAAGTTGCAGGAAGCTAGGTTAAGGTGGTTCGCATATGTGAGATGGCAAATAATGATGCCCTAGTGCAAAGTTGAGAAAGGCTGACCTTGGTGTGTGGAGTAGTGGAAGGAGTGAACCTAGAAAGAATTAGAAGAAGGTGGTTAGACAGAACTTGGCTTTCTCTGCCCTTACTGAAAATATGATCTTAAATAGCAGTATTTGGGGAGCTAGGACTAGAGCAGTTGGGTAGACACCTTGGACTAGGGGTAGTTTTCTCTATACTTAATATTTTGTACTACCTATGTGTTGGGAAACGAGGCTTGGATGACGCAGCGGAAAACAAAAATTTAGAGTCCAAAACTCGATTCCACCCAAGAACAACTTACGTAAATTACTAGCTATAGTAAGAAATTTACCTTAGCGGTGAAAACGGAGAATGGAGAAATGGTCGGGGATGGTTTTGAGGAGATGAACGTAGCGCCAAACGTATGAAGCCTCCAATGTATTCACACGAACTTGCTCCAGAGTCCTAGATTAAACTTGTGCTAGCAAGTTTAATATAGGATAGTAAAACTATAATAATACTACTTTGGGAGTAAGAAATATATAGTAAAAGTATTTATCTTATAAATATTTCTTTATAATATTTTGTGTATATTTCTAACACTTTAGAAAATAACTTTGAACACAAAATAAAACTTCTTCTCTCTAACTTATGATGGCCGAAACTCATACTCTTAAAATGGGGAGGAATTAAGCTCCTTTTCCTTAAACATCCCCATAAGCATCTTAACAGGGCAGAGTTTGGTCACATATCCAACCGTTTTGCTGATGCCAAAATCAAGTACAAAACTTTGGTGGAGCAGCTTATGGTTGATCCTGACAGCTTGGAGCTTGTCCGGTTGGTGAACGAGCAGAGAAGAATCACCAACTTTCTGATTGAAGTGGAATTGGCATTCTACAAACAAAAGGCCAAGTGTGACTTCCTTACCAAAGGGGACAGGTGCACCAAATACTTCTACTCTGTGGTGAAAAAGAAGCGGAGTACCAATTCCATTCCCTTCATGGTACGTAGTGATGGAACCAAAACCACATGTCACAGTGAGGTTGTAGATTCCTTTGTTGATTTCTTTCGCGGCCTCTTTGGTACGGGAATTCAAGTTGAACCAATCTCCAGCGAGGTGTTGCCCTCAGGTTCACTGGTACCGGTCAGTTCTTGGGTTGCTCTTCTTGCTCCAATTACCATTAAAGAGGTCGAGGAGGTTGTTTTTAGTATTGGGGATGACAAAGCCCCTGGTCCCGATGGATTTAGTGCTGGTTTCTTCAAATCCCAGTGGCAACTGGTTGGCCCTGATCTGTTTGAGGCAGTGGCTGAATTTTTCCATCATGGAAAACTCCTCAAGCAACTCAATCATGTTGTCATTGCACTTATCCCCAAAACCACTCATAACCCATCTGTGAAAGACTTTAGGCATATTGCCTGTTTGAATGTGATCTATAAAGTTATCACCAAAACCCTTGCTCAAAGAATGGCTCCATTGTTGCCAAACTTGATTGACCCGGCTCAGGGAGCGTTTGTGGAGGGTAGGTCATCATTGATTGACAACGTACTCTTGGCTCAACATTTGATCAGAGGCTATGCTATCAAGAGGGCCACACCCAAATGCATGATCAAGCTTGATATTACCAAAGCTTATGACACCGTCTCTTGGGATTTCCTCAATAGCATTATGATTGGTCTTGGTTTCCCCCGAAGTTTGTGCATTGGGTTATGGAGTGTGTCACTTCGGCTTCATTTTCAATCTTGGTCAACAGAGAGCTCCATGGATTCTTCAAAGGCCACAGAGGCTTAAGACAAGGTGACCCGATGTCTCCTACCTTATTCATCCTTTGTCTTGAATACTTCTCTCGCCTCTTGAATTTGAAGGCCAAGGATGGCACGTTCCATTACCATCCGGATTGTGCTACCTTGGGCATTACGCACTTGGCTTTCGCGGATGATATTATGCTTTTCTCCAAGAGGGATTTTACTTCGGTCACAACTTTAATGGAGGTTTTGAATCATTTCTCTGCCGTCTATGGTCTTCATCTCAGCCCCACCAAATCCAACATTTTCATTGCCGGGAGGGATAGAGACCGAAGTGAAGACATAATTAGCCTTGTTCATTTTCCAGTGGGGCAGCTCCCTGTGCGCTATTTAGGGCTGCCCTTGGCGTCCCAAAGGCTCACCGAATCTGATTTTGCCCCATTGATCAACAAAATTGATAACTAATTACGTGGTTGGAGCACCAACAAGCTTTCTTATGCCGGGCGTGTTGAACTCTTGAGGGCAGTCATCCAAGGGACCGAATCCTTCTGGCTTCAAGCACTTCCTACGCAAAAAGTTGTACTCAATAGAATCGCAGGCCCGTGCCGTGACTTCCTATGGGCCAGTAAGTTTGCTAAGGTTGCCTGGGTTGACATATGCAAGCCCAAAACCGAAGGGGGACTAGGGCTTAAAGAGCCAGTCATGTGGAACAATGCTTTGCTTTAATTTGTAAAGTCTTGTGGAACATTGCCAACAAAAAAGACTCTCTATGGGTTCGTTGGGTCCACAACATCTACCTTAATGGGAGGAGTGTTTGGAGTTGGATCCCTAAGAAGAGAGATTCTTGTCTATTCAAGAGGTTGGTCGAGATTAGAGACCTCCTCTTTGTTAAGCTTGGTAATCCCCTTTCAATTGAAGACGCTTTGAAACCTTTCTGCTTCAACAATAAGCTTCTTTCCGGGAAAATCTATGATTTGTTTAGGGTTCGTTCTCACCCGAAGCCCTGGATGAAGTTCATTTGGCAACCATTTATTCCACCAAAATGCTCTTTCACCTTGTGGTTGGCGTTCAGAAACAGACTACCCACAAAGGTTAATCTTGGATTCCTTGATGTTGGAATCTCAAGAGTATGTTTCCTTTGTGGAGTCGAGTTGGAAACTATCAACCATTTGTTCTTCAGCTGCTCGGTGACTAAGCATGTATGGGGTCTGATTCGTTCTTGGATGGAGATTGAGGCACACCTTACCACTCTCATACGAGTTGTCCGGTGGTTGCGATCAAACAAGAGAGGTTCCCTTCCCAGGAGGAGGGCGATGAAGCTTGCATTTGCCTGCACTGTCTTTATGCTTAGGAAGTCTCGGAATGAGGTTTGTTTTGATCAAAAGCCTCTTGATATTACGACTCTTGTTTGTAAAATGTTTGCATTGACTTTTAGTCTGATTTGTCCACTTTTGGTGTAATTCTACCAGGGCTTGCGTGCCTTTGACTCTGATTGGGCCTGCGTGCCTTTGATTTTGTTTGGGCCTGCGTGCCTATGTTCCTCTTTAGTTTGTCTTATGGGGAGTGTCTACCCCTTGTTCGCGGGTATGCCCGTTGTACTTGTACATTATTCTTTTTAATATTATTTACCCGTTACCGGAAAATGGGGAGGAATTCATTTTATTTATATAACATAACTTAAAACGAATTTCTAGGAAATAGCTTGGGGACAAAACAAATTAGGATTAGTGTAATGTTTCCAACCAACACAACAAGACAAAAATCCTTTTGTTAATCAAATATTTGTTTACCCACACATTATTATCCCCAGATTATGAAAAAGACGTTCATCTCATCAATACCTTCTACGACACAAGACGTTCTATAACTATTATCATTTTGTCTTAAATGTCATGATTTAACACAAGGCATGGGATGTGTTTCCTTGTATAGTTAAATCCATTGTTACTGAATCTCAAGTAGACTGGCAGGGATCAGATATTTATGAGTCTCTGGATAGGGACATATCTGGGCATGGCCATGCACTTTCTCAAATCCATTGACATTATACTTCTGTTATTGACATTATACTTCTGTTATTGACATCTCTAATTATGCTTAGCGGCATACCCAACGCATAACTGTACGTTCACCAGTATTTCAGATAGCATTAGTTATGAATCAAAGTATATGGCCCCACATATCAGTGAATGTATTAACTTCAAGTCTGAGGATAGTTATAGCAAGGTCGAATTGAGAATACTGATAAACACATTACTGTAGATCCATGCAGTATTCTCAAGATGGGTCAATCCAGTCACATATTATTGATATAATATGCACCTACGAATAGATTAAGATATCACAATACCTATAGTCTATGAGACGCAACTATCTTATCTCGTACATACTAGTATTAATACGTTATGACGCCTGTATTATCATAAAATGCGGCTAGGGATATTTTAGACATAGCCTTCATCAAGAAGTAACATTCTCATAATTAGAACATCGTAGTCCTCATCTATTTTACTGAAGCGTTATCGTCTATGGACTGAAGCTAGGTTATGTTACACGAGATATAAAACATACTTGAAAGCCTTTCATTCATGATAAAGTGTACAGTTACATAGGTATTTGATTGCCGCTAGTGTACCTAAATACAACAATCTCCCACTTGCCCTAAGGCCAATCAAGCATTTCTCGAATGCCCATGGACCACGTGTGACTCTCGTGTTTAGGCTTTCCCAAAGCCTTCGTCAACGGATCCGCGATATTGTTGTCTGTACCTATCTAGCAAATCTCAACGTCCCCACGTGATACGATTTCTCGTATGATGTGATAACGTCTAACGATGTGTTTGGTCTTCTGGTGAGACCGAGGTTCTTTCGCTTGTGCAATTGCCCCATTGTTATCGCAAAACAACGGTATAGGGTTCTTGATGCTTTGAACCACTCCAAGCTCAGTAATAAAATTCTTAAGCCACACACCTTCCTTGGCTGCCTCGGCTGTAGCCATGTACTCTGCTTCTGTAGTGGAATCAGCAGTAGTATCTTGCTTGTAACTCTGTCAGGTAACAGCTCCACCTTTCGAACAAAACACATATCCTTCCTGTGACTTGAAGTCGTCTCAATCAGTCTAGAAGCTGGCATCAGTATATCCGACAATACTGAGCTCATCTTTTCCGCCATATACCAGGAAGGCATCCTTAGTCCTATGAAAGTACTCAAGGATGTTCTTCACAGCTGTCCAATGGCTTTTTCCAGGGTTGGACTGGTATCTGCTCGTGACACTCAGAGCAAAGGCGACATCAGGTCTCGTACATACCATCGCATACATGATGGATCAAATGGCCGACGCATAAGGAACATTTCTCATGCGTTCTACTTTATCTGGAGTGGAAGCACACTGAGTCTTGGAAAGACTCGTGCCTTGGACCATAGGAAAACTTCCTCGTTTCGATTCAGACATGCTGAATCTAGCGAGGACCTTGTCTATGTATGTACTTTGACTGAGACCTAACGGCTTCCGTGATCTATCCCTATATATCCTTATACCAAGTGCATAACTGGCATCTCCCAAGTCCTTCATAGAGAAACTCTTACTCAACCACGTTTTGACGGTGGTTAAAGTAGGAATATCGTTTCCTATTAGCAGTATGTCATCAACATACAGAGAAGGGAAGACTACAGCACTCCCACTGACCTTCTTGTATACACAAGATTCATCCGAATTTCTTTCAAAACCAAAGCCGATGACAGTTTCGTGAAAGCGGATGTTCCAACTCCGTGAGGCTTGCTTCAATCCGTAGATTGATCGATGTAACTTGCATACCTTGGTAGATTCTTCAGGAGCGCAAAACCCTACAGGTTGTGTCATAAAGACATCCTCAAGGAGGTTTCCATTAAGGAAAGCCGTTTTGACGTCCATCTGCCAGATTTCGTAATCGTGGTATGCTGCGATAGCAAGTAAGATCCGAATGGATTTAATCATGACAACTGGAGAAAAAGTTTTGTCATAGTCGATACCATGTATTTGACGATATCCTTTTGCTACCAATAGAGCCTTGAAGGTTTGTACATTACCATCCATGTCAGTCTTCTTTTTGAAGACCCATTTCCACCCAATGGGTTAGATCCCTTAAGGTGCATCAACCAAAGTCCATACTTGGTTGGTGTACATGGAATCTATTTCGGACTGCATGGCTTGATGCCATTCCCCAGCCTCGAGACAACTGATTGGCTTGAGGTAGGTCTCCGGCTCATCGTGGTTGATAAACATTGCATCACCCTCAAAGGTTAGGATGAATCCATACCTTTCAGGTTGTGTGCGTAACCGGTTAGACCTACGGGGTTCTTGTGTATCTTGAGCATTTTGAGGTACAACGGTTTGTTCCTCTAGCTCATGTTCCTGAACCGGCGTGGTAGTTTCTTCGTCGTCTCGAATTTATTCAAGCTTTATCTTTCTCCCACTAGTTGCGTTGGAGAGAAATTCCTTCTCGAGGAAGACACCATTGCGAGCAACGAATACCTTCTTATCGATAGGGTGATAGAATGAATACCCTCGAGTTTCCTTGGGGTATCCCACGAAGAAACACTTATCAGACATGGCCTCAAGCTTGCCATTCGTCATAAGACGTTTGATGTAAGCCTCACAGCCCCAAATCGTTAAGTGTGCAGAACCGGGCATTTGCACGTCCATAGCTGGTATGGTGTTCCTTCAACCGCCTTGGTTGGAACTCGGTTAAGAGTATATATTGCAGTGCTCAGCGCATACCCCCAGAGTGATTCTAGTAGAGTCGAAAGACCCATCATAGATCGAACCATGTCAAGCAGGGTTCAATTCCTCCTTTCAGAGACGCCATTCCATTGTGGAGTCCCAGGAGGCGTGAGTTAGGATAAAATCCCATGCTCTCTAAGATAGTCATCGAACTCACCACTTAAGTATTCTCCAGCTCGATCGGATCGTAGTGTTTTAATACTTTTGCCAAGTTGTTTTTCAACTTCATTCCTGAATTCTTTGAACATTTCAAAGGATTCTGACTTGTGTTTCATGAGATACACATAGCCATATCTACTGAGGTCATTAGTAAATGTGATGAAGTATGAATAACCACCTTGTGCAGTTGTATTGAAAGGCCCGCACACATCACTATGAATGAGTGCCAGAAGATCACCAGCTCTTTCACCGTGTCCGGTGAAAGGAGATTTGGTCATCTTACCCAATAAACAAGATTCGCACGTGTCATATGATTCAAGATCAAATGACTCCAGCATTCCCAGCGAGGTAGCTTGGATATGCGTTTCTCGTTTATATGGCCTAACCTACAATTCCATATGTATGTTTTGTTCAAACCGTTTGGTTTTTTCCTCTTGGCTGATATGTTATAGACAGGCATGTCCAAGTCAAGGATATATAACCCATTGGTCATGCTGGAATTAGCATAGAAAACATTCTTTCTATAAACGGAAAGGGACTTGTCTTTAATATAAATGAAACAGAAATAATGTTTCTACTAATTGTAGGAACGTACAAGCAATCGTTTATTTCAAACATTAGACACTAGGCAAGACTAAACTATAAGTTCCGATTGCCAAAGCTGTAACAGGTGCACCATTGCGACTCGGAGTTCAATCTCGCCTCGAGCTAACTATCTACTCTGCTTCAGTCCCTGCATGGTAGTACAGAGATATGAGACCCACATCTAGTATCTAGTACCCATGATGAAGATATAGACATGTTAACTTCTATAACATACACCTCAGAAGAAATGGTCGTACCTTCCTTCTTTTTGGT